GATATAACATACATAAAAATGGAAGTCCTAATATAATAGGCACTCCTGGCATATTTCTTACTAATAAAAATGTTTGTGGAAGACAAATATTATCTTGACAAACAAAAGCATTAGGCAATTTATATGAGATATCTAATGTATGATTAGATGCGGATTTTAATGCATGTGAGGTTTTTTCAAAATATTGCGTAGGTATTAACCCTTCTTGAACACAAGACAAATCAGCACCACTATCAATCATTGCAACAGTGTTTAGGACAAATTGTCTATCTATCATTAGAGTTAATTTTATATACCATCTTTGAGATGTAATTATTTGTATTGTTTTTAGGAATTCATAATTATGATCTTCAGATATATTTTCAGCTAAATTCTGAATAGTTTGTGGATCAACTATAGAAGTTTCACCTTATTGTGAATACTCAATTGTTTTAATCCTTTTTTCTAATAATTCGTTATTTTGTTTCAAATACTTTATTTCATTCTTTATATTATGAACTTCTATTTGTAAGTCTGCAATAGTTATAACTGAAGAAGATGATTCTTCTTTATTTAGTAATTTTTTCATTCTTTTTTCTATTTCCTGCATTGAATAAGGATTATTATTTAAAACTATATCCTTTTTATTAACTTCCTTTTCTTTTTTATGAGACACATCTATCATTTTAATTATTTTATCACAAATATCATGATCTGGTATTTGTTTTAGTAATTCTAAAACATTATCAGTTGTTAACATGTTAAATTGTAAATCTTGAAATTGAGATATAATATTGTAAAGACTATTATCCTTACAACAATCATTATTATTATTATTTTGACATGGAAGACATTCATCCGAAGAACTAGATGAATATTCATCATTTTCAAGCATGTTATTTTCTGAGCTATTAGTTTCTTACATTTGGACTCGATATCGATTCTTCTATTACTTTGCATATTTGTTCTTTAAGTTGTTCATCTATTTCTAATAATCTAATTCTATTAATCTTTTACAATTAGGGGCAATATGACCCTTTTGACCACATTTGAAACATTTTATGTCTCTTTTATTTTTTCTATTAATTTTTCTAAATTCTCTTTGTTCTTTTGTTCTTTTACGTCGTCGTTTTCCTTTAGGTATATAAGGAATTTTATTTTTCTTCATTCTTTTATCCCTATTTTCCGGCCCAATATCCATAGCAAATTGATCACGTAACCGACCTAATTGTCTTCGTTCGATAATTGTTGTCTTTTAATTTGTTGATTTAACTTTATTTCATTACATAAAGCTAATCCTTCTTGTGTACAAACACCTATTAAATGACCATAAGTATAATCATCATAAGGAATGTAAGGAAAATCTTTCCTAAGAACTTTTCTTATTCGTTCAAAGAAACAGAGTTGGTAAGCCATCTATAAATTTAGCTTTCCAATAAGAGCTATTACTTACTGGTAATTCCATGACTCTTGATAAGAATGAATCTTTATACCATCTAAAAGAAGTAAGTGTTTTACACTTAAAATTATTCAACAATGTTCGAATATTTTCTTGATTATTAGTAAATTTTCCGAAAAATGTTCTAATATAGATGCTATCAAAGTATATACTGCATCTTCCATCATAATGGGTGTAGATGTTCCTTCATTCTCAATTTTACTGTATTATAAATTTTTGTCTATCATTTTCAGTTAAATAATTATCCCACCATCCTTTAAGGACACCAAGTAAAACCACAAACAATCATTTTTGCGATTGCACGATCGTATTACCATTTGCTTTTGCAACCGAGGAGTACATTAACATCCTATGCACCATATTAGTTAATTGCCTATCGAGTAAATGCGCCACATTCCCATTCATAAACGAACGACTACTATAACTATTAGTAGTTTCTTGATGTTCTTCATAAAGAAGATCTTGCGGAGAAGGTCGAGGGTAATAATAATGATTCATATATGGTTTATTAGCAAATTTATTATGTCTAGATTTATGAGAAAGACGATTTATTTCGTCTCGTAAAGTTTTATCAAAATCTTTCTGTATATTTTCAGAAAATTCTAAAGTTGATAATTTAAGGTTTTTAAATTTTTCTTCTAATAATTTTTCTAATACATGTGGAGATTCAAGATTATAATCTTTTACTATAGGAGGAGGTTGTATAAAATTTTGTATTTTAATATCCTTATTTTTGTTTTCAATCAAAACTGGTTTAACTGTTTGTTGAAGATTGTTTATTAGAGAAAATAATTTGTCAACTTTATCATGTAAAGAATTAATTTGTTCCCCTAAAATTTTTACATATAAATTTGTATAATTATTTTGCTGAATAAATTTATTTACTAAAGAAACAGTAGAAGGTAAAACTTCACTTTCAATCAATTTTTGAAAGGCAGAAAAAGTTATATAAGTTGCATTTGTTAAAACAAATTCTTTTTGGGGAGGGTAAATTCCTTTTGTAATTTTTCCATCTGCAAGATGATATTCTCTTTCGAGGAGGAAAATATATTTATCAAGATAAGTGATTATAAACCACGGGACAAAATATATTATTTGATTGTGAAAAGAAGCATATTCATAAAATTCCTTTTGTATAAGTTTTTGATTTTCAATATCATAAGTAGAAAAAAACCATTCTCTGAAAAGTTTCCACTTTTCAGATTGAAATTCTTGTCTTATTATTTGTCTAATATTAGATCCTGGACTAAAATCTAATTTTTAAGTATTCGCCATGATAACCCATTTCAGAAGGTGAAGGCATATCCTTATCAAATGTCTTACTATCAGCAGACCGAACAATATTATATGGATCAATTTTTACTTGATTTATTCTATTTGTTAGATCTATTTCAGTAATCGAAGATGTCGAAAATTTATGAGAATCGATTGGATCTATATAAGATTTAAAAGATCTTTGAGAGCTGGATCTTAGTAATTTAGGAATTTTGGTTTATCAAAAGTAATACTTATCGACCATTATCGATTGTTCAATTTCGTAACATTACAACTTGTAACATTATGAGTTAATGAGTTTCTTTTAATTCCTTTATCAATTTGCCAAGACTCTGGAAATTCAATTTCTTCCCATTTTATAGTTTTACGAGTACTAATTTGAGATTTATAAAAATTAGTTTCTATCAATATGGTTTCATCAGATGGTTTACTTATAATCTTACATCTGGGTGTTAAGGTATTTAATAATTTAAAACAAATACGGTAATGTAAACAAATAAGTTCACTTCCCGGTAAATAATTGTAACCATGTAATTTCACATTTAAGGTTAAAGCATCGAGTATATTAACATCAGACAATGATAGCTGTAAATTTGGGTAGACATTAAAATAAACTGGACCATGAGCTAAGCTGGACTATATTATGCCCATTAGGGATTTTTTCCAATGTAAATTTCTACCATCACGTAAGGCAAAGAACAAAAGATTCGAGTAAACCTTCTAAAGTTAAAGGTTTAAATGCAATTTGCACCAATCCAATATGCATGAACTTATAATTTTTATGAGATCTATAAGATTCAATATCTGTAGCAGACAAAAGTTGTAAAACCCTTTCATCAGAATTTAAAGCAATTGATTGTTCAGTAGTTTTAACTACCTGTTTAACCAAGTATCGATCAAACATACCATATTCATACAAAGTATTAGTGGGTACCTTTGGTATTGACCACTTATTAAGAAGAGCAAGCTGTTGAGGCATATCATATTCCTCTTGAACTGAATTTTTTATTGAAGTAGTTTCTAAATTATTCATTTTTAAATTAGGTTCTGAATCAAACAAATCTTTTGTAAACATAAAAAATACATAACCGCTCTGATACCAAATTGGATAATCACATCATGCTAAAATAGTAGTTATGAGTAACTATATGATTAAATAAAAGAGTAGTTTCTTATGTGATGTGGTGGATCCTCTTTCCAAAATTTGACACTTCTCACATTTACTGTTTATATATATATATATGTATATATATATTTCTTCTTTACAAGTACCCTAAACTATGAGATTTTTATAAAATTTCCAAAATAAAAGTTAAAAAAAAAATCCAAAACTCTGAAATGAATTAAACTCTTAGTCTGTCAAAAGAAACTTGTACATAAATAAACCTTATTGTTTTTGACGAGATTTATCTAATGAAATTCATATTGAATATTTTTTATTCCATGATTTTATATTTAATACTCCCTCCGTTCCATAATTATTGTCCACTTTTACTAAAATGAAAGATTTTATTTTTAGTCAAACTTAACTATATTTTACCTTGAACAACCGGATATACCCCTACATAAGTAATTGTTTAACCACAAAGAATTTATGGATAATGTTTTTTACTAAGGACAAATGTGTAACTTGATCTATAAAATGTCAAAATTGGACAATAATTTTGGGACAAAATTTTTTGGGCAAAGTGAATAATAATTATGGAACGGAGGAAGTAATAAAGATTGTAATCTTAATTTTTTTTATAGGTCTATTTCTAAAAAAATTATTTAGTGGAACGGTTTATATCAAATCAAGTTATACAGCTGTAGGCTTATATAGATGAAGAACAATTATGTGAAATGTAAATAACTACGTACAGGAGCCCCCTAAAAAAATAGAAAAAGAAAGAAAGAGTATTTATTTTGTATTATGATTGCATTGTTGCACTAAAATTAAATCTTTTCCAAAATTTGAGGTGCAGGAAAATAAAGGACATGTAAAAATGGGATCCAATCATTTTCTTGTTCCTTCCACAAAAAAAATAAAAAGAAAAAGAATTTACTCCAGAAGTCATGTAAAGAACTAAAAAGGAGACATGTGTACAAGCAAATCATATTTTCGTAAATTATAAGAAAAGTCTAACACACCTGACCACCTGTAACTTCATGAGCAAAAAAGAAATTAAATTAAACAAAACTCAACATTATCAATTACAATTTGATTAATTATCCATTAATTTAAGCTTAACACTTTACAGAGACACAGAAAGCGACATTGGCGTGTAATAAAAAAAAGACAATCAATTCTTCTTCTTTTTTTCTAAAGTCTCTCTCTCCATCTTTTTCATTTTAAATTAAATTATACTCTGACGAGAAAAAAAAAAAAAGAATTTTCACTTTAAGCCGAGAACAACTGTTCATGACTGAATATTCCTCACCTCATCAATCAATATTATTTTTACTTACTGGGTTAGGAATTTCACAGTGAAATGGGTTTGTGATGAGCTTGTTCAAATTCGATCACAGACGTACTTACTTCCGGCGGTTTGATTCGAATCCATTGCTCGTTTCTTCCTTCGTTCCACTGAGCTGAAGCGTAAGTGTTTCGCACGTTTTTGGATTATTTTCCCTTTATTTTGGAGAAACCCTTTTTCCTTTAATTTGAACTGTTTTTTCTCATTGCTTGGACTTCTTTTCATCACTCTTTGAGCTGTATTGGTGAATGAATCAGAACCCAGGAAAAAAAATTTGCTAGAAGAAAAGAAAATTTGATGTGGGAGGTACTTTTTTAGTGGTTAATGGAATCATTATATTTGGTTTGATTGTGCCAGTGGGAATAAATGGTTCGATTTTGTTTTATAACTAATTTCAGTTGGGGGGTTCTGGGATTGAGTGATTCTTCCAAAAAGTTCTGGTATTGGACAAGACAACGGTCAATTGGCAGTGTAGTTGACTCGAAGTCTTTCTCCCGTTCATTTCACTGTATTGGCTTTTTTCGGGTTTCTGGGTTTGCTGTTATGTGGGGTTTTTATCAGTCTTCAGATGGTGTCGAATGAATCACTGAAAATAAATGCCTATTCTGTTTTTGTTAATGGTAAAATTGCTACATAAATCATAAATGTTGTGTGAGGAGCTTTAGTGGCTTGGTAAAACCTTTCTTTTATTCTTTTTCTGGTTAAAGTTGTATGGTTAATTAATACTACTTCAAGCTCTGTGAAGAGTATTAGAAGTGATGAATCTACGTTTAATTTGTTTTCCTACTTTTCGTTGTTTTAAAGTGCTAAAGTGTGAGGTTCATTCCACTCTACTTTAGTGTGTTATGTAGCCTTTTAACTACAGTGTTGAAATTTACATTTATATCTGGCCATTAGATTATAGTTTCCTTTCTGGTTACTTGTTTTGCCGTGAAGGAATTAATGGTTTGCCATTGCTAGATAGGTTGTTTATGGGAGAGACTCTAATGCCCACAATAGCTAAAACTGAAGGCAACAGGCTTGAGGGTGGAGTGCAAAACATTCCTCCATCATCCGTCTATTCTCAACCTTGGTGGCGTAGTGCTGAAACTAATTGTCTTTCTTCTTCAGAGGAAAATGTTAATGGTTCTCCTGGATCTACCAGATCACAAGGGAATGTTAAAGGATTCGCCAAAGAAAAAGATATGAGTAAGGCTTCAAACTTGCTTTGATTTCTTTCAAAACCTTTTCATTCAAACTTGCTTTGATTTATTTCAAATTCTTTTCATCTCATTCTAGTTGCTTTGAACGGTATGCTTTAAAAAGTTGTGTTAGATGTTTTTGATTGTTGGGTATTGACTGGTATCATAATTACCATTTGACTTGGTCATTACTTCAAAAAGCATTTTGTTGCTCTCTTTTGGTTCTTGAAAGTTCACTATGTTCGCATCTTAGTTGATTAGACATTAGGTTGACAGTGTCCTTAGCAGGACAATTTGAATGAAGAATGTACTTAGACTGACATGATGAGGAAAGAGAGACTGGTTATGATCCCCTTTTTCCTCATGCCAAATGCTTGAGAATAGTATTCTTAAGACCAGCTGGATCCAACCAATTAAGTGTTATTTTTGTAGAATCTAATCCTGTTACCTTCCATTATCTGCTTTACTTTTGGACTTTGAGTAATGAAGTTAATCCAAAAATTCACCTGTTATGTTTGGTGCAAAATGAAAGTGACACCCTTACAGAAAAGCTCTGAATATGTTTCATTTTCTCTGATATTGGTTCCACTTCCAATCTGATTTGTTATTCCTTGAGAGTAGTGATTAATATCCTCAACATCAACTTGTCTGGCGGTATGTTATTGGATGCTTCAGAGTTACTAATACAAGTTTTTCAGATTTTGATGCCTTCACATAAATCAAATGTTATAATATATGAAGTGGTTGCTGGCAAATGATTCCCTAGCTATTGTTCAAAATCTACTCCAATTTTCTCTAAATTCATATAATTCCCTAGCTATTTTCATCTTTCACATTTAGATATCTGTAAGTTTCGATAAACAACTCAGAGTTGGGATATCAGATTGGCTCATTATATCTATGACCTAAATTCATCCTGTGGCCATATGCTTAAACATTTGATGTATATATCTCTCCATTTTGCTCTAGAGAAAAATATGTGATTTAACATCTCTGAGTTCTGCAAATTTTGCTCTGCAAAGCTTTTGGCATTACCTGAATATAGTATTGGGGGAAAAAAATTCATTATTGTCACTTGTTTCAGCATATTACATGGGGTAAATACTTTTTCTACTTTGTTTCAATGGCATGAATGAGTTTTATTAGCGCTTTTTTTTTTTTTTTTTTTTCCCTTACTGTAGTGTCATTTGGTTCTATAGTTTCAATGCTGTGCAAACTGCTAATTTTAGGGATGGAAGCTACAACAACAACAACAAAATATCCAGTATATTCCTAACTCGTTTGGGGTCTGGGGGGTCAAGATGCATGCAGCCTTACCTCTGTATTTCAATACAGAGAGGCAAATGGAAGCTACAACTTCTAGTAAATTTGCATTAGGTTTTTGTGTTTGGTAATCATGAAGGGCCTGAGAGGGGAGTTCAGTGCGCTTTGTGTTTGCTCTGAGTTCCTTCTTTGAGTGTGACGAGGGTTCCTAACTATTATGATCTTTTAGTCTGTATGTTCTGACTAAGATATGTGGGTTTTAAAGTGCTTGCTTGTTTGAACAAGGTCAATGATCTTATTAGCTAGCAACCAGATCTTGAAATCATACTCTGCCAGGAGAAATGCACATTTTCTTACACGATCATGATCCTGAATACATATTTCTGTTAGTTAAAATGCCTGCTGATTCTGGTTTTCCTTTTCTTTGATTTCTTACTTTAGCTTGTTTACCTCGTGCAATGACTTGAGGTCAATTTTGGCTTGATTTATGGTGTGCTTTTTTCCTAGTTTCCTCTCCGTGGTGTTCTGATGGTTTTTATTGTTGTTTTAATTGCTGAAATACTTCCAGTCTTCCACATATATAGAGTTCAACTCTTTTATGGTTTAAAATAGATATGGTGCATACGACAATCATGCTTTGGCTGGTTGAATCATGAGTAAGGCTCCCTTGTTTTTGGATGTAGATATTGATCAGTCTTTTTTCAGGATCAAATGGAAGTGGTGGTCCCGAAAGTCAGCAAGTCAAACATGTTGCACCAACAACATTACCAATGGTGGGGCACCATGATGCTTCAAACCAAATGGACCTTGTTGGTCATTCTATCGTAAGTTTCTCCATGCTTGGCCAATCAGGCTCTTTTACCATTTCTTCCCAAGGCTAATTATCACCTTAACCTAATAGCATAGAGCAGAGATCAATCATTGTTTCTCACTCAGGAAGTAGACAACTGTATTGTGCTTGAGTAAAATAGATGATTTTGTTTAGAACTTGGGATTTTGGCATTTCTGGATGTGTCAGGGATATCTTTACTAGTAGAATAAAATTGTTGGCTTCTTGTTAATGATTGAGAGTTATTTTGTATTTATTTATTTATTTATTTATTATTATTATAATAATAATAATTATTATTATTATTCTTTTTTTTTTTGCATTTTGCAGATGTTGACATCATATCCATATCCAGAGCCGCAGTTCGGGAGCATCATGACTTTTGGAGCTCCTGTAAGAAAGTTTTCATTTTACTATGGAAGCCTGATAATTTTATCTCTGACTTTGTATGCAGCTAGTATCTCTATGATCATCTCTTCACAATCTTAATCATTAAACAGTAGCTCCAACAGTTAATTTTCCACGAGTTTCATTACCATGATCAATTTTTTGTTCTGTAGCAGTAAGGATAATTATCATCCTGACTTACCTCAGAAAATATTGCCAACCCTTCATTCCTTGATGCGAATTGGCCGTTGGCTTCTCGTTGATTTATTTGCTTTTGTATGTGGACTAAAACCGTATGTTCAGTATAACTTTCATCTTAAATGTTAGTGGTTGCTCTACGTGGCGTTTAGTGACATTATGTCCAATTGTTAATGTCGAAGAGATGATGGGGGCAAAAAAATTACTTGCATTTTGTTGCCTTGAATTTGGTCCCTGTGTGTTCAGTTTGAGAATTCTACATGTTGGTTTCTTTTTATATATCCGTTAAGTGGTTTTTTTTTTTAACATATAAAAAAAAGCAAGTGGTGGTGTTGGAAACTAGGCTTAAAAGTCCTTCCTTGCTGTTTGATATTAACAGTTAATGAAGTGGGATTTCTCGCGTATCTTACTTTTATTGTTAGTTGAGGTTAGGGTTTTTTTTTGTCCCTTCCTCTTTGCACTTGCATGTAGTAGAGTGGGATGTGTGCTATGCTTGCCACTCTCCTCAATTGTGGTTTTTATTGGGTTAATAGACATATAGTCTTGTCATTTCTTTTGCTTCTTGAATCAGTTTTGGTTTGTAATAACCTTCAATTTCCTGCATTATATGTATCTTATTCATATTGATTTTCTTTATTTGAAGGCATTGGTTTTGTTGGAAACTGTTGGTCCATCAGTTTGAAATTTGATGTCTGTCTCTCTGCTTTTAGGTGCATCCTCAGCTTCTTGGTTTTAACCAAATGAGAATGCCTTTGCCCCTTCAAATGGAAGAAGAACCCGTCTATGTTAATGCCAAACAATATCATGGCATATTGAGGAGAAGACAGTCGCGTGCGAAAGCAGAAATGGAGAAAAAGCTTATTAAAGAAAGGAAGGTAATATTTCCGTAAGAAATATTTGTTCTACGTGGAGAAATTTTGCTAAAGCAGCCCCTAAAGGACCATCAGTTACTGATCTCTTAATCTAAGTGGCCTTCCTTTTTCGGTAGTTTAGTCAAATAATTGTAGTATGTTGAAGAGTGATTCTGGCTAAAGTTAGAAATGATCAGTGTCATCAGGAAAGTTGTTTAATTTTACTACGAAATATTCCAAAGTTATTTGTTGGCGACTCTATTGTGTGGCATGATGTTCATTTGTTCCTGGTAAAGGACATCAAGAAATTCTGTCTAGTGATATCTTTTTGCTAGTAAATGTAAAAGTGAAAAGAATTTCGAGCCAAAGTAATACTCAGCACCATACCTAGTAATAGTTCCCACTTCAATCTTGATGTTAGTAATTAAGTTTACACGTATGTTGGGATTTGAGCCAAGGTAGAATGTTACCGGATGTTAACATTGTAGTTTATCTCATCAATGTCGAAGCTCCATGAACGCAGATGAATTCGGTATGTGCTGTAGCCAAAACATTCACATGTTGCTGAAGAACAAACAACTGACCAGGGAGGAAAGTAGCTTCTGTAGTTAGAGAATATTGTTTTTCTAAGATCATATTGTACCCTGTAGATAACATGACTAAGTAGATTTTTCATCATTGCAGTTCTCTTGGGTTATATAGCTTCTGTTGTCTTTGCATCTGCAATCTTAGGACAAAACCAAACCTGGAAATCCATTTTTGGCAGAGGTTTGTGCTGTACATGTTGAGCAGTCCTCTATGCTCTCACTCTGTGGCCTCGCTGAGTTTTCAAATAGTTGTTCAGTAACTGAATTTTAGATAACAATGAAAACATTATTGTTAGTTATCATCAGAAATCAAAATCTTCTAATCCCATATGCATCCAGGTTTTGTTAGAAAACAGGGACCCTTATATTTTCGCATGAGTCGTAGATGAACTATTATGACCATAGTGCCTCTTCGCTTTTTTTTTGCCGTTGTTTTAGGTTGATGTTTAAAATTTCTTGCATTAAGGGGGCCACCTTCTGCGCAATTGTTTGAAATTCCTTCAAGATACACAGGGTGGTATTTTTCATGCTACTCTGCTTTCAGTGTGAGCTGCAGAAGCTTTCGTTGGCATATGATTTATCTTTGTTATTGTTCCTGATTGAAGGAAAATGAATTTGATTTTAACAAGATAAAATATTCACTCTTCCATTGTCTGCTTACTGATAAAGAAACTGTGTGCTGGATGATTTTTATAGTTTCTAGAGTACTTTTGTTTTTGGATTTATGGATTATTAGTTACCCATTTTAGCCTCATATTTTTTTGATAGCGGTCAATGTTTTTTGATATTTTTTTGGTATTAGCTGCACTCTAACATATTCTTCTATTTTAAGGAACTTTCTCGATCTTTGTTGTTCTGTTGAATAATAGCCCAGTGATGAAACATTTAGTAATCTTATAGCTGTTTGCATCAATTGGTGTTCCCTTATGCAATTTTATTTGCCTGAGGCTGAGAAACCATAGCTTTTTCCATGTGGATATTAGACATACATTCAGAGGGATATACCTAGATCTTATCACTAGCACATCTTATCAAATGTAAAAATCTTTGGCGGGGGAGAATAAATGGGAACGAGGGGCAGTGCATATTTGAAGCTTAGAGGTTTAGGATTAATTTTATGTAATATCAAGGGTTTGATTCGATTCAGACATGGGTTATGAGGAGTATATTCATAATGGAGATAACATTTATGTATTCTGAACTCAAAAAGCTTTATCTGAACTCTGAAAGTGTATTTATTTCCTTTGTTAGTTCATCATAAACAGGGAATGAGTATCCTTTCGCTTGGAAAGATTTTAAGCTATCAAAAGAGCTGCTTTTTTTTTCCCAATTACCCAAAACTAGGAAGGTCTTCTCCAAAAAGATTAACATGCATTTGATACCGAATATTTGAATTCTATGGTAAGACCTTAAGCACGAATGTAAGTTTTTGCAAAACAGTATATATATGTACATGCATCTGCACATGAGTATATGCTATTTCAGGAGATGACATGAAAGATGCCTTCCACTTTTTCTTATCTCTGTATTATGGTACGGAGCCCTATTTTTGCAAGGATATACGAAAAAAAAAACTTTTGAAGTGAACTTCCTTTCAGAAACAAATCGAAGTTGAATGCTGCTTTTGGGTCAATGGGAGTGACATTTAGGTATAGTGAAGGAGAACAACTGTAGCACTTGCTATATTTCTGACTTGAAAAAAGCACCTCTTTTCTAGCCACATGTTCAAGCATGCTATATCACCATTGACCTTCACTGCCATCACTGAATGTCATCACGTTAAACCTGAGTAACCATTGGATCTATTAAGTTGTATTACATCGGGGTCAATGGAAAAGAATGTGAAACTATAAATGCTGCCAGATTGATTTTCTCTGCCTATTTTCTGTAGCTCCTTTATTGCGTCAATGGATTCCATCTTATTCATTCATTAGTGAATCTTCATTATAGGAGTACATATTAGGTTAGTTCGTTGGCGGTTTTTTTTTATTTTTTATTTCTTTTTACTTAGGGAACTTTTTTGAATTAGCCCCAGAGGTTGATGTTTTACGTGTCAAGTTGCATTTATTTTCTTCTTTCTTAAAAGTGTTTTCCTATGTCCCGATGATCAAACATTTAGTAATCACAAAGCTTTGAACTTGAATCGGTGCTTCCTTGCAATTGCTTAGCTGACACGGTATTATATTTCAATTACTATTATTATATTTTAATTTAGATGTGAAGTTTATAATGAAAATCTACTGCCTCAACCACACCTGTGTTCTGATCTGGAGTCTGGTCTTCTTTTGTTTTTATTGTACTTGGGAACCTTGTCGTGATTTAAAAGCTTGATCAATATTTTTAGAGGTTGATAATTGCACTTTTGCACTTTGTCTTGAAGGTAGCTGATGTTATGAGGTTACTCTCTTTTTTGAAATCTTTTTGTTTACCTAAAATATCAAATTTATGCATACATGACGAATATGTCGTAGTATCCAGGTTTGGGGAGTTCCTACGTCCAGCAGTTCAAGGGCTACTGAGCCTTTTTTCCTAAGTAGTCCAGTGGACTCGTGTTGATCATTATTGTGAAATGCCTTTCTTTCAGAAATTGTACACATATCGTTGGTGTTAATCTGTTGTATTCTGTAGTTCTGCAAACATTCTCTCTCTCTCTCTCTCTCTCTCTCTTTTCCCCCATTACTTTTCTGTCTTTTTTTGTGGTAACATATTCCCTTCTCTCCTCTCTTTAATTTCTGATTTATTTATCTTTCTCCTTTTCTCCATAAGAAACTCCTGATTTCAGTGTCCTACGTGGTGATTTCTTCTTTGACTTTTGTTCCCTAGAACATGCTGGGATCACTAGGTTTTAAGCTTTTGTTCTCATCTCATATTTTTCCTTCTCATTTATTCTCCTTATTTTTCTAATGTAGCCATATCTACATGAATCGCGTCATCAACATGCCTTGAGAAGAGCAAGAGGTTCTGGAGGCCGTTTCCTTAATACAAAGAAGCTCGAAAGTAATGCCTCTAATTCTGCAATGCGAAAGCAGACAAAATCAGGAACCGCTACACCTACACAATCTGGCAACTCATCTGGGTCTGAGCTTGTCTCAACTGACTGTAATGGACATTCTGACTACATGGTAGAGAAGCAACAAGTTTCCTCGAATGGAAATGGCAATGTGCCAGGTGGCTCGCTGCCTTATTATTCTCAAGCTCATGGAAGTGGTAGAAGGGACGTCTTATCCATGGGGTTGCGGACGAACCATGCCCTTCATGGGGCTGCTTCTGGCAACTAAGGAACCTTCCTTTGGAAGGGGGGTTTGCTTCAGTATCGCCTTCTGTGGTTTGAGGTGCTCAAATCAATGGCAGTTGGTTCTGGTGGAGTTGACCTGTCTTACCTAAGGGAGTGTATCTGTTTTCTGAAGCATGACTGGTGCATGCTCAGGCAATTCATTCTTGGCTTGGTTACTTTATGCTTGAAGGTTATGACGAGAGGAACAATGGTAAACTATTAAGTGATGAGCCTCTGAAGTTTGTAGCTCACTGGTTACCATTTCTCCCCATCATTTCCTTACTGCTGTAAATTAAGATGTGATGAAGTAGGTCGATGTAATCTTAGATTGTCATCCCAAAAACAATGAACTCTTTGGAAGCTTTCAACAATGGGTGTGGATTTGTACCAAAGTGTTTTTCTTGAAGTTCTGTTACTGCTTGGCATTGTTGTCTGAGTCTGTATCTGGACTCTTCTTTTTGTTTGAGGGTAGTTTTTTGTCATGGATAATGCAGCTGTTGACATTTGATGTAGCTTTTAGTTTGAGACAGGATTTGTTTCCTTTTATAAACTGACAAGCATCATGTTTCCTTTAATTCTTATTATAAGGTGCTGTGAGAATCTGTACAACACATTAAGCTTTATAATATTTCCAGCATGCTTGAGAACAAAATGTGTTAATTTTGGAGAAATTTCAACATTAGGTCTTGATAACGTTGACTTCCTGCTACCAACTGCCAGTAGACTTTTGCTTTCTTTCACTCAATTTCTCTCTTGCTATGTTTTCTATTCCTTCAATAAAATTTTGTCAAAAAGAAAGAAAGCAAAAGCTGATTTGGTAAAGTAGTTTTCCAATAAGAATTCTAAAAGAGAATTCTTTGACTTACCAAAAACCAAATTCCTCCATTTCTATGTTTTCTCTCAACATGTTGAAGCAAAAGGGAAGTTCATCAGTCAGTAGTATTCATCACTGGTAAATATGGTGAGGAAACACGGATGGCAGTTACTGGCTCACACCTTGCAAGTGGTTGCAATTACAGTATTTTTCTTGTCAGTGGTTGCATTTTATGTGTTCTTTGCTCCATTCCTTGGGAGCAAAATCTGGGAATATGGTTTGGTGGCTATTTATTCCCCTGTTGTGGCCCTTGTGTTTGTTCTATATGTGCGGTATACTGCAATCAACCCTGCAGATTCTGGGGTCGCGGCTACATTTTATTCTGAACAGAAAAGTAATCACGGAATAAGCCAAATATGTGATGAAAATAGTGTTGGAGCATGCGATTCCCTCAAATCTGCCTCGGAAAATGGGAATTCATCATCTTCTTGGCACCCTGAACAAATCTTCTGGGCAATGTTTGTTCTAGACGACTGCCAAAAGAAGGATGAAAGAACAGAGGAAGGTCCAGGTGAAGAACAACAAGATCCAGCACTATTCTGCAGATTGGGCAAAACTCAGGTTAGCAAATTCAGCAAACACTGTAGAAGTTGTGATAAATGCGTTGATGGATTTGATCATCCTTGTGCTTGGTTAAACAATTGCATTGGTAGAAAAATTTACGCGACTTTTTATCACTCATGCCTTTCACTCTCCTATGGCTTGCTATTGAGGCTGCAGTTGGCCTCACAGTTTTTGTGCGTTGTTTTGTAAGTAGTAGAGTAAAATGTCCAAATAATTCCTTACATTTGGGTTTACTTGAATTTACGTCACTAACATTAACATTTCAATATCTTAGTCCCAAGCATTATATTTTTAAATTTTTTTGGTCTCATTTCACTGTTTCGATCATTTTTCGTCCAACTCGATGTTGACCGATCGTTGACATGTCGTAATCAGGGTATTTTTTTGTCTTTTTCACTTAATTTGACTTACATTAAAATTTAAATCAATAAAAATATTATAAAATTCACATTTCATTATTTAATTATTAAAATATTATTTATTAATTTAAAATATTATTATAAAATCTTAAAATTTACATTATTTTCAAAATTACTTTCTTCATTTACCATTTACCTAATTAGGTACAAAGTAAAAGGTTATTATTGCACTTTTTCTAAATTTTTTTCAGCATTCATGGACCTTTTCTTTCTACTCCATTCGCACACAACCTCTTCTTCTATTTTGTTTTTGTGTTTTTAATCTATTTACATGATTATCATTAATTTTCGGCAATAACAACTAATGCAACAAAGAAAGCTTCAGCAGCAGCAACAACAAAACACGACAACTACTACAACAACAAATAGTTCATCAAGAACTGCAACCAGGGGTAGAGCCAAGCCCCTAGCAACAGGTGGGGCAAAAAAATTTACACGTAAAAATATTTAATTTGTTAAAAAATTATCAAAATGTAAATCCTAACAAAATATTACAAAGTTTCTTTACATATATTCATTTTCTGAGAACGTTGTAAAACAAGTTCATCGTCAATAGTATCAAAGAGATACTTTTCGATATATGTAACTATATAGACAATCATTCATTTATCAATTTGCCATTGATTTTGAAGTAGGTTTATCACAATCTTCATAGCATAAAATTATCTTTCAACAGTTGTAGTGACCACAGACAAACAAGTGCACTCAAATACAAAGAAATAAAATGGCGATGTGAAAAAAAAAGAATTTATCAAACAACTGATATAGGCAGTAGGCACTCAAGTACTTGATCTAGCACATTAATTCAATTCTAATCTCAAAACGAATAGCTACTAGAGTCAATGGCCAATAGACAAATGAAATATAAATTGGGCATATATAAAAAGAACCGGAAATTAATATAAAATATGAACATTTTTTTACTTGATTATGACATATCAGTATTCAATATATACGTAAACCCTACAATCTACATAAATCTAACTCACAAAAAAAAATTATTCTTTGAAGGAAGACAAAACTAATAGAGTTTCTAATTAATTATAAAAACTACATAATCCACGAACAAATGAATAAAAAGAGAACTTCAAAAAAAAAAATTACATACACAATAAAGCTTACTGAACGTCCACTCTCCGGTCTTTAATTATTTGCTTCCACATTCCAATCACTAAAAAAGATTGAGTTCTAAACCCTAGGAGAAAAGGCAGAGTCGATGAAGAACATGATAAATTTTGAGTTTGGGATGAGAAAAGAAACGTGACGTTATCAACTTTCTTCTTTGCCCCCCAACTTACTAATTGATATAAAACATTATTAATTTAACTAAGCTAAAGTAAACAATCACTACCTTTTAGTTTATTTTTCTTAATAAAATATTTGTAGTAGTTATCAACTTTCTTCTTTGTCTCCCAACTTACAAATTATTACTGGGGTAAAGTTTTAACGTTTTTGTAATTTAGTAGTACCTAGAGGTACTTACAAAATTTTGAGCTGGGGCACTGACATGTATGTAAATCCGCCCCTGACTGCAACAACGACGACGGCCACCACCCCGCAACGGAAAAATTACTTAAATGAGGCTTAAATTTAAACTGTGGACAAGTAATGGTCAGAATTTGAATTGTGGACAAAAAAAAAAAAATCTCGAAAACAAAGTATCCGAAACACTAAATAAGTAAGTGTTTCGGATCCGAAACACTAATGGATTAATGTTTCGAATTTCACATATCTGAAATAAAAATAAACAATATAATAATGAAGTTTAAATTTTTGATTTGCTGGAAAAATGAAAATAAAAACTTTTTTGAATATCCGGTTTTCGAAATTTATTTCGAATATAATATTTTTGAAATCCTTTTTTTTTAATTAAAAAAATGTATTCTGGATAAAATGAACGAGATAAAGAGAAAATCCAAAAGAATTCGTAGAGCCAATGGTAATAATTCGAAACACAATGCCTATATTTCTTCAGCATCGTTCATTCTCTGCTGATCAATTTAAAAAAAAAATCACTCCCGTCCAATTCTGGCCGCGCTGCTTAACTGTAAGTTTTCTTTCTTGTTATGACTTTTATAGTCATCAATTGGTGATATGATTTATTTTATTATCTAATATTGTATGTATTTTATCTTTTTTGCTGCAATTGGGAATTTAGTAGTGTAGTTTAGCTTATTCGGTAATGTAGTTAGTTAAGATATGTGTTTTGATACTGTTATATGATGATTTCTATCCCCCATTTTAGGATTTCATATGGTGTAGTTATGTGAATTATTACTCTAATTTATGCAGTAGTGTGATTATGGAATCTTGTAGTGTGTATTTAGTAATTTTGCAGTAAAATTAGTAAATGGTTTAATAAATTAATTTAATAAATTTGGAACATAAATGTTTCCATTGTATTCAACATTATTATTATATAGTATATTTATTTTTGTTCAGTAATTTAATTTTAGTTTCATATTTTAGTGAATTTTATATAGTTGATATTTATAATATTTGGTAAATAAATGCTAAAATGTAGTTTGTATAATTTGGTACAGTAATTACATAGTTGGATAGTTTATCTTATAAATTTTGAAAATACTGTATACAGGATATGCATATGGCATTCAATGGTCCTTTTATATTGAATATATTCTGGAACAGTTATTTTTCAGTAGAAAATGGGATTGTGAACACTAGCGGAAACATAGCAGACTCTATAGTTTTCTTTGAGCGTATGATATCATTTTCAGAATTGGTTGATCGGATATGTTCATCTGCTAATTTGAATAGAGACACTGTACAGTTAACTCTTTCATTATTGTATATAGATGGTAGTGGTACAAAACGGGTTGCCCCAATCCGAGAGGACAATTCTCTACTGCTCATTTACCACCTATCAATGTCATGGCTAGAGATATATGTTCGTGTACAAATCATTCCGGATACCTATCGTGCTAGTACATCTCAACAGCAAATAGGAGCAAGGACAAGTGGTTGTGGTAATAATGAGGAAGATATTGAAGATAATGAGGAAGAAATAGAAGACGATGCAGAATATCATGGTGATCCTAAAGAGTATGAGCCTCCAAGTTCACAGTCGGATGACAGTGATGATGAGGTAAGTGGAAATTGGGGTCAACATATTTATAACTATATTGGTGCGTTTGACCCAAATCATATTGATTCGGATGAGGATAATCCTGTTTTTTGGAATGGAGATTTGGAAAATATAACTATCGGAACACGTTTCCGAAGTAGGGAAGATGTGATATATGCCATTTCTCGTTGGTCTATACATGCTGGCATGGAATTCAAAGTGAAAGAGTCTAAGGGTAGAACATGGGCTGCTCAGTGCATAACCTGCGAACCAGGATTCAAAAATCTACCTGATTCAGAGCCATGTGAACGGAAAATGCGAGCATCAGAAGAAAAAGGTACATTGCATTGGAAGATTGTAAAATGGCACCAAGAGCACAACTGTTCTGGAGGCCGTTTCATTGGCAACGTCAATCGATGTGTGACTTCATCAATCATTGCTGCACTGATCGTGCAAAAGATTATGAACAACCCTGAATATGCTGTTAAAGACGTGATGCTTGATGCTAAGACTTAGTATGAGTGTGATGTCTCATACAAGAAAGCGTGGCACGGGAAGAGAAAACCAATTGAATATGTTTATGAAAACTGGGAACAAAATTTCAGGGAATTGCCCAAGTTTATGGAAGCACTGAAGATAAAAAAATTCCGAGACTGTTGTTGAGTGGGAATTTGTTGCAGAAACTGAAGAAACAGATAGGAGGACTTTCAAATATGTGTTTTGGGCATTTGGACCTTTGTATAAACACTTTCCACGAGTCGCAGCCGGTCCTAAGCATTGATGGCACACACCTTCTTGGGTCATACAAGGGTAAGTTACTTGTAGCAGTTGTTCAGACTGCAAACAAAAAGATTGTGCCCATTGCTTATGCTGTCGTGGATGAGGAGACCACCCCTAGTTGGAAATGGTTCTTGGAACAACTGATATTGCATGTAATAAATGGCAAAATCACGTGTATTATCTCAGATCGGTGTGCTTGTATTATTGCTGCAGTTAGAGAGTTGAACAATGTTTATCCAGGTGTCCTACGACACAGTTATTCTATGAGACATGTCCAGAGCAATTTACTATCGCATTATCGTGGCAAGGGATTGAGTGTACTATGTACGGAGATTGCCACTGAACTAGAAGTGAAGAAATATGAAAGTGCTAGGGAAAGGCTTACCCGGTACAGACCAAAAGCCATGCAATGGCTTGATAACATTGGTGTAGGTCTATGGACCTGTGCACGAGACCTTGGGCATTACTGTTGGGTATGAGGACGACAAACTTGGTTGAGAGCTGGAATAATGCTCTAAAAGGTGTACGTTGCTTGCCAATTAGGGCCTTGGTATTGAGTGATCAAAAGCAGCAATCTGTTCTTCTTGCTGGTTCTCCTGCATGCATGGCATATGAACCATCTCCTCCTGGATTCGATCCTGTGACCTGCGGTTTCAAACACATTTTGATGCCATCTCAGCCAAGCAGCAAAGTCAACAGAGACTAGAATCTTCTACAGCTCCTGATTGTGTAAATAATCACTGTCCTTTTATGCAAAATAAGGAAAGTGAGTCGGTTGTAGCTAGAATACATATAGTAGTGATCATACTTCCTTTTGCAGACGTAACAGAGTAAAATTCTTCTAGAATTTAGATCTGAGAATGAAGTTTTCTGTCTTCTTCTTGCTCAACTATCCTTTTGCTGTTGAGCTTTATGATTGAATGCAGTTCTGAATCTTATTATGGTATCAGAGCAGGTCTGATCCTGCTCTGAACTTCCGCATTTGTTTTGGCTACTGTGATATTTTTTTGGGGGAAAATTAACCCTGAGGGAGCACATAATCTGTTTGTTGAAAATTCACAATGAATGAGGCACTTCTTCGTCGAGATGTGATGACAAAGGAGGCACGACGAGAATTGGATCTGTTGATTGAAGAACAGTTACAGGTACATGGTTCTGAAAATCCAGGAACACCTCTTGTTTCGGTTCTTTTAAATGAGAAGAATTATTTGATTTGGAAAAATGCAATGATTCCGGCTCTTGAAGCTAAAATGAAGTTGGGTTTTGTTGATGGGAGCTTCCCAAAGCCACCCGAGGGAACTCTTAAATGTATAAGATGGAATAGAGCAAATAGCTTAGTATGTTCTTGGATTAAGAGTTCTATGATGCCTGCTTTAGCAAAAATGTTTATGTTTGTTCATGATGCAAAAACGCTATGGAGTCAACTTGAAAAACGTTATGGTACCACTTCAGCGCCTCACTTGTTTGAGTTAAAAAGGGAGATTGCACTGATTAAGCATGGAGATACATCCATATCCAATTATTATGTGATGATTAAACAACTTTGGGATCAATATGAACAGCTGAGACCCACCCCAATAGTTGTAGGGGATGTTGGAATTTTGTTGAGGACCCGTGAGTTTGAAGATCATTCTATGGAATTACTCATGGGACTGAATGAGGTATATGAGCAAGAGAAGAATCATATTCTGTTTCTGGAACCTTTGCCACATGAGGAAGAAGTGTACATCAGGTTGTTGAAGGCTGAAACACATCGCCAAGTGAGTCTCAACATGATAGCAAAGGATGAAAATATGGCTATGATGGTCAAATCCTCTAACTGGCAGAAGAAACCACCAGTAGCTGTTGTTGATGGGCAGAAAACTGACACGAGTACACTGCTTTGTTCCTATTGTCATAGGACCGGCCATATTAAGGATGGATGTTTTAAATTGATTGGTTATCCAACTGACAAACCAGTAAAGAAATGCAATTACTGTTCCAGAGAAGGACATGAACGGAAAGAATGTTTTAAGCTCAATGGATATCCAGATCGACTGCCAAAACGTCAAGTGCAAGGACACAATGCAGCTGTTGTGATTGAGGACTCTCCTTTGGAAGTTGAACCAGCAGTCCCGAGTCCAGATCAATTACAGGCAATGATGCACATAATGCAGAAGAAAATTGACAGGATGGTTAAAGGAAAGGGACGTGCAGGAGAATGCTCAACATCTCACAGTGTCAATTCGGTTCGTTTTCCTGATTTTGCAGGTTGTACTTCTGCCTCTAAGCTTTATTCTAGTGTTGATGATTATATTAGTCCAAAGGCATGGGTTACAGATACAAGTGCAACAGGACATATCTGCACTACACTATCCATCATGCATAATGTTTCCAAAACCCCTAGATTAACACCCATTCTTCTCCCTGATAGCAGTGTTACATATGTGACATTGGTTGGGGATGTCTTTATTTCTGAAAGCCTTACACTTAATTCTTGTATGCATGTTCCTTGTTTCAAGTACAATCTCTTGTCAGTGAGGACATTATCCAAAACTACCAGTTTTTTCTTCCTTTTTTTTGCTGACTTTTGCTTGCTACAGGACCTTAAATCAGGGAAGGCCCTGGCAGCCGGCAAAGTTATCAAAGAACTGTACGTCCTGGATGAGGAATCCTTCACTCCATCTGCCATTGCCAAGTCTCAGGAATCCTATGCTTCACACATGTTACACAATCAGCTGTCTTCTAGTTTTTTTAATCCCTTTTCAGGCACCAATAAGCCTTTTTGATGTTTGTAATCTTATTCTAGAACCTCAGTTGCTCCATGACAGACTTGGTCATCCTTCATATTCTGTAATGCAACATATCTTTGCAGATGATATAACTCCAAGTACTGCATTAAGGAATTCAAAAAGTGATATTGATCAATGTGCCATTTGTCCTCTTTCCAAACAATGCCGAAATGCTTTTCCATTAAGTTCAATCCAAACACAGTCCAGTTTTGAGATGTTACATGTTGACGTATGGGGTCCCTATAAATACCCAACTCTGACATATTGCCGTTTTTTCCTAACCATAGTTGATGATTATACCCATTGCACTTGGACAATCCTTTTTCAGTCTAAATCTCTTGTATCTTCTTTGCTTCAAAACTTTCTTAAGATGATTCATACACAGTTTCAAGCCAAGGTTAAAATTATCCGAAGTGACAATGGAACTGAGTTCTTTAATGAACAATGTTCTCAATTTATGACTGATCTAGGCATTATCCATCAACGCACTTGTCCATATACGCCTTAATAGAATGCGGTTGTTGAGCGTAAACACCGTCATCTCTTACAGGTTGCAAGATCAATCCTCTTGCAGTCAAAGTTACCAAAAGAATTTTGGGGAGAATCCTTGCTCACTGCCACATTTCTTATCAATCGAATGCCTTCCCCACTCTTGCAATGGAAATCTCCATATGAAATGCTGTACAAACACAAACCAGATTTATCCTCTTTACGGATTTTTGGTTGCAGAGCCTTTGTCTTAGACAAAGGACCAGGACGCGACAAAATTTGATCCAAGGTCGTTTACTGGCCTGTTTGTTGGTTATCCACTCAACCAAAAAGGTTATAAGATCTATTGCCCTGATTTGCAGAAGATTATCATTTCTCGCGACGTTATCTTTCATGAAAACGTCTTCCCTGGTCTTCCTGATAATGCTCCAGGTACTATTTTTCCCTTGATCACATTTCCAGCACCTGATCCCTTAGTGACTTCCTCATCTCAAAATCATTCTCATGATTCCTCTGCCAACTCTCATTCCTCATTTTAGGATTCGCCTACTCCAGATCACATACCAACCTCCTTTTCTTCATCTGATGATGAGCTTTCACCCCCCAATCCACCACCTCTTAGATGTAGTACCCGTGCTACAAAACCCCCCATCTGGTTACAAGATTTTACCATTAATCAGGTTTGTGTTCCTCCATTTTCTGTCAACTCCTTTTCTGATTCAACATGTAGTTTTTCACCTGCACATAGGTCGTTTGTTGCAAATGTATATGATAATCTAGAGCCAAGTACTTATAATCAGGCACGAGTTAATGCTAAGTGGGTGGATGCAATGCAAAAGGAATTACAAGCCCTGGAATCAAATGACACTTGGATTATGACCAATCTCCTCCTGGTAAGAAAGCAGTTGGTTCCAAGTGGGTATACAAGATTAAAAGGCATGCTGATGGGACCATTAATCGTTACAAGGCCCATTTAGTAGCAAAAGGATACACTCAGGTCGAAGGAGAAGATTTTTGTGAGGTCTTTTCCCCGGTTGCCAAGGTAGTCACAGTTAGAGTGGTTTTTGCCTTGGCTGCTTCTAAATCCTGGCCTGTACACCAATTGGATGTCAACAACGCCTTTTTACATGGTCATCTCACTGAGAAAGTGTATATGCATCCACCATTCGGGTATGATAAAGGAGTTCCCGGTCAAGTCTGCAAATTGCTTAAATCTATTTATGGAGTTAAACAAGTTTCACGCCAATGGAATTTGGTGTTTTCCGCCAAACTTGCAGCTTATGGTTTCACTCAGTCGTATCATGATCATTGCCTTTATAGCTATTCTCACTCTGATGTTCAATTATTTTTATTGGTTTATGTTGACGACGTGTTGATCACTGGACCTGATGAAGCACAGATTCAGTTGGTGAGAGATTATCTTGATCACTTGTTCACTGTCAAGGATCTGGGACCAGCAAAATACTTTCTTGGCATGGAGACTCGATCACCTCATGGCATTTATCTTAGTCAAAAGAAGTATGTCACAGACCTGGTCGCTTCTGTTGGCCTCCTTGATTGTCATTCAACATCAACTCCATTTCCCCCAGGCCACGTTTTTAATCCCTTGATGAGGATCCTACACCTTCACTTACTGATGCGGCTAAGTATTGAAGACTAGTGGGCCGATTGCTCTATTTGAATTATACACGACTAGATGTGACGTATGCCGTTCAACAACTGAGTCAATTTGTTCATCAACCCCATGAATCCCACTGGAAAGCAGCTCTCCATGTGCTGAAATACCTTTCAGGATGTTTAAGTCGTGGTCTAGTCTATTCCAGTGATTCTCCTCTGACTCTTCTTGCTTACAGTGACTCTGATTAGGGTTCCTGCCGTACTTCCCATCACTCCTTGACTGGATATTGTATATTCTTGGGTAGCAGCCTCATCTCATGGAAAACCAAGAAACAGACCACCATTTCATGTTCCTCTCCTGAGGCAGAATATCGAGCCATGGCAACCACAACCCGGGAATTACAATGGCTTTCCTTCATCCTTCGTGACTTTCATGTTAGTGTCCCTTTGCCAATTGATTTCAAATGTGATAGTCAAGCTGCTTTAGACATCACAGCCAATCCTGTATTTCATGAATGAACGAAACACATAGAGATTGACTGTCATGTTGTGCGTGATCAATTCAAGGCCGGATTCATCCTTCCTACTTACATTTCCACTTCACATCAACTCGCAGATCTCTTTACCAAAGCCCTGACCACTTCAATTTTTGTTTTTCTTCTCTCGAAGATGAGCATTTGGAATGCTCCTCTTCAGGGGGAGGGGGGGGGGGATATTGAGTGATCAAAAGCAGCAATCTGTTCTTCTTGCTAGTTCTCCTGCATGCATGGCATATGAACCGTCTCCTCCTGGACACATTTTGATGCCATCTCAGCCAAGCAGCAAAGTCAACATAAACTAGAATCTTC